CTGGATTAAACCACCTTGAGAGAAATTGCATAGCTGACCATGCAGTTTCTTATTAAAAATTGTTGCATAGATTTCTTAATTCCTTCCCTTCCTTGAACTAATCAGAAAGCAGGTTAAGTGCTCTAAACTGGAAATGATTATTAGAAGATTTGTTGCCCAGAAAATAGTTTGTATAAATTTCCACAGGGACTTTAAGATCCCTTACAAATGTAAACATTTATAGACCATAGATGTTATAACCCTTGTTTCACCTAATTAGGTAAAGTAGAGTTCACTGGAGTTGGACAGCCAATAAATTTAAAATAGTAATAAATGCATAATTACAGCAGACTGGCACTAGGAGTTCTGAAAATACAGTGGTACCTTGGTGCTCATCATTAATTGGTTCCGGGAGGCATGATGAATACCAAAAATGATGCATACCAAACAAAAATTTTCCTATAAGAGACAATGTAGTGAGTCACAAGGCAGCTGACACTGATAAGTTATAGGTTTTGTGTTGAGTACCAAACAAACGATGAGTACCCCGACAAAATTTTTGAGTCAAAATGCATTGAGTACCAAATTCAATGAGTTTCAAAGCAGTTGAGTACTAAGATTCCACTGTAATATAGGTTTGCCACCTTGGTGAGCCCAGAAACAGTGAAGAAATTGTTTTTATTTTTGTGAAGAAGGGCACAGAAAGTATATTCAAGTAGAAGGAAAATCACTTGAGTATTGGTAAATAGAGTGACTGGCTGATAACATTGTGTCAACTTAACCAGAAAGAATGAGTGCCGCATAGTTGCTGGTTCCCAATTCATAGCATCCTGATTGCAAAAGACATCTAAAAGTAGCGCAAAATGCCTTGTCTAATATGTGTTACTATTTAGTTATACAATTTATATGGCTTCTTTTGCAAGATCAAGAAGGATCTGTGTCTCCCAAAAATACAACAAAGTTCAAATGAAATCTCTAACCACATTGTGTATAAGGTTTTTCTTAGTGAATAGTTTGAACCCATGCAACTGTATTGCATTTTCCTTGACAGGCTGAAAAAAAAATCAGATAGCTGGAATCCTACAGATTTCACTAACATGCGAAACAGGAATAAATTCTTTTCTTGAAACAAAGATCAAAGCCAAGGAAGAAATTCCTGCCACAGGAATGATGTTATTTTTATAGGGTGCTGGGAAGGGAACACTAAAAAAGAAGAAGAAGAAGAAGAAATAGCATCCATGCCACTTCCCTAAACCTTCACTTCTCCTTTTCTCTTTTCTGTTACAAAGATGTAATTTCCCCAGCTTAAACCACCTCTGAGAACCCAAAATCTTACCACATATACTGTGCGGGTGAGTTAAGCATGTTATAGCCTGCATGCACAATTTAATAAAACCTTCCCATAATGCAGTCCTAAACACATTTATCTAAATCCCATTAAATTCTGATTTCAGCATCCATATGCCTGGAAATTGCACTACTACTCCTTTTCTGGCTGAATTATCATGGCAATGTACTGTACTCTATATAGCTGCCCTTGAAGGCAATCCATTTCAGCTGAGCCAAATACAGTAGTTTGAATGAGTGGTTGGGAGAAGTGTGTCAAATTCAATGACAATTCATTGTTGTTGTTTTCTTTTCATGCACAGTCCAATTCATTTTAAGTTCTTCCTTGCTTCTAAATGAAACCTACAAATGTGATTCTTGCAGAACCTTTTTCTAAAAAGTCAAGGCTTTGTATGAGTTTTTGTTTTAATCTGCTACTACTGTTGACATGGTTTCTGTGACTACATTTTACGAAACACCGTTTTTAATTTGCTTATATTTTTATATGTGTGTCTGTCTATATCTTCAGCACCATGTCAGTATGGGAAAACAACCCTTCAAATGATGTATGTTTAACAATAATCTGAGGATTTTCTCCCATACTGACACAGCATTAAGGAGGTGCAGGTCTGGGAAGGAGGATAGAAAATGGAGACGTGCAGAAAAAAAATGTTCCATTTATCACATGTTTTTTCCCCTAAGCCCTTACATTTCTAGGAAATGGAGAAAAGGAGTGCAAAACAAACCAGCAAAGAACAACATTAGACCAGTGCTTCTGATTCTATTCTTGTCATTGCTCTTATAGTTCCATTTACTGACATATCTTATCTGTACACTGGAGCCGTACTTTACTTCCTTCCATATTCTATTTAATTTGCTTTTGTGGTCTTAGCATTTATTGACTGTTTCTGGAGCTTTGCTAATCATCCCTTAAGGCTAGGTTCCTGCAAGTCCCAGTGATCCACAAACCACAATACTATTTTAACTGGGTGTGCTATGTAGATCCAGTGGGTAGTTTAGGGAACAATCTCTTGTTCAAATTTAGCCATTTGTGTTAATTGAACACTATAATTAAAATGTAGATAGTGAATTGGATGAATACAGCCCTGATTTTGTGGTTTAAATTGTCCAAATTCCCATTGGTCAAAGACAACTTGACTTAAGTCATGCCACTTCTTGAATGCAGCAACAGATAAAAATAATTTTTCAGTTTCTACTCATATTGGAAATAGTTTGCCTCCATGCTTTCCCATCAGTCTCCAAGGTATTGCAAAACTTCCCTTTCCTTGTTTCCCCTAAATCTTTAACCTCCAACATAAATATACTAGAAATAACTTTTAGTGGACTCAACTTTACTCCAGAGTTTTACAGAGTTACAGAGTTTTAATGGATCCACAGGGGAAAATAATAATGAAAGATAAACTTGTTCCCCTTTACTTTAATTAGTATCACATTATAGCAATGAGAGAACCATGAAAAGAGGAAAAGAAGAAAAAAGAAAGGAACATCTGCGTAATATCTTTGCACTAGGGACAAAAAAAAAAATCAGAAGCTGCCATTACACAAAGGATAATTTTACTGATAAGCCAAGCCTTTTCTTGTGATAACAGATAAATGTTCTGACAACAAAACCCATTTTATATACAGTGCACATACCAAGGACAGGACTAGTGAAAAGAGACAATAGTTACCAAAATCACAATGGGGGAAAAGAGAAAATTAAGCCTTTTTCCCATTAACCACATTCTCTGTAGAAATTCTACCACGCAAATAACGTTAGACACGGGAAACACTTTCTTAGTGCTGATTAGAGATAAGGTGTGTTGTTTCAAAGGCTGATTTTCAAAGTGACAGCAATTGAGAAAGAAACAATCTTACTAGCAGTGAAATCTAGTTTCATGATATAGCTGGAACTGAATAACAAGGAGGGGTGGGTGGAACCTCAAACAGGTTGATAAATTTCATGCCTAATCAGGTTTTCAGTTTTTGTTTTTGAAGACTTAATTAAGAAGGATTCAGTGGCAGGATTTTTTCTGCTAACCAGGCTTTATTGACTGTGCCATACAGAGCTAGATTTTTGCACTACATTAAGCCATACTCTGGATCACAAGCCAAAATGGTGAACTTCATACAACACAAGCCAAAACCAAACATACAACTTTCAATAGTATGGCTTGTCATAATGCATAATGCATTATCATTATCCAGATTTTATGTAAGTCTGATCACTCACAGCTTTAAATTGTCTTAATTTAATTTAATTTAATTTAATTCTTCCTACAAAATATTTTGGAATAATGTGTTTATTAAAAATTTGAATGCCATGCTTTAAAGGAGAATTTTCCACTGTGACTTAGATTGCATTAAATCCCACTATTGCTTAAATAGATAAAAATTAAATTATTGATTAAAATACAAGACATCAATTAAAATTCCACCACAGACTGGTGATTAGAAAGGTTTGTTGCAACATACAAATTTAACAGGACATAGTTTTGGTCATTAATCTAGATAATTGGCCATTAAGGCTAATTCTTATTAGGAAAAGGAAATTACATTCTCTTTCTGATGGATCAATTACTAAGAATAGAACAGAACAGCATAGAACAATAGAGTTAGAAGGGACCTTGGAGGTCTTCTAGTCCAGTGTTTTTCAACCACTGTGCCGTGGCACACTAGTGTGCCGTGACATAGTGTAAGGTGTGCCGTGGGAGAATTACTTTATATATAGTCAATATAGGCACAGAATTAAATTTTTTTAACATTTTCTAATGGTGGTGTGCCTCGTGATTTTTTTCATGAAAAAAGTGTGCCTTTGCACAAAAAAGGTTGAAAAACACTGTTCTAGTCCAACCCACTGCTCAGACAAATGGTTGTCCATCTTCTTAAAAACTTCCAGTGTTGGAGCATTCACATGTTCTGGAAATTTCTGCTTAGTTCTAGGTTATTTAGTTTCCATCCATGCTTCTTGTCCTGCCTTCAGGGACTTTGGAGAATAGCTTAACTCCCTTTTCTTTGTGGCAACCCCTGAAATATCAGAACACTGCTATCATGTCTCCCCTAGTCCTTCTTTTCATTAAACTAGACATATTCAAATGCTCCTCTAGCATTCTGTAATTCAGCCTTGCTTCACATCATGTCATTCAGGATCAGGTGAGGATGGGAACAGTAACACCCCCATAACATTGGAGAGAGAAATAGCCATGCCTGCAGAAGTCTTTTCAGTGAGTGACATGTTGAGTTGGCAGCCAAATATTCAGTTAATCAGCCAGACAGATGGATGATAATATTAAATCTTGGAGGATTTAATATTTCTGGTTGTATGTTTCTCAGGTTTAGATACTGTCACTCTCACAGTCTCAGTATTCTCAAAGAAAATAAGTACCAATTTACATTTTTGTCATTCCTCAGTCTTAGCATTGGTAGAAAATTGAAATTATATGCCAACAGATCTGAAAGGTACCAATTCTAAAATATTGCAGAGATAAAGCAAGAGCAAATCATTTCTGAAAAATCTTGCCAAGAAAACTGCAGGGATTCATCCAGGCAGCCTCCAAGAATCAGACACAATTGAAGAAAAAGAAAAAGCATATTATATTTATGTATATTACAATAAATGTATGTATATTATAAATACAGACACACACACAGCTGTAATTCCATAAGAATGTAATTTCCATATAATCTTCACATACCTTCTTCACTAGATAGCCTTCTCTTATCCGTCTGGGTTCTCGTTCAGGTCCTTGTTCCATTTTGGCCCTGTTCTTTTTTAGTTGAGTTCAGTAGAGCTTTGTAAGTTGCACTTATATAGTTATCACTTTCACAAGTTCCGCTGATTGTTAATCACATGAAAGCATGCTCACTTCCTCTTCCGGACGTGTAGAAGCAAATGTAAAGGATAAATTAAGAACATTTTTCCCTTTTAAGAACACAGGAATAACATGAACCCAAAGACATTTTTTCATTACATGAGAGGACAACTCAACAATTACCAGCCTGAGATATTTATTTAGCTTTTGTCAGTGATCAAAAAACAGATACTGTATCTTGATAAATAAAGCAAAATAAGCATGGCATTTTGCTCTTGTTGAATTACATCCAGGTGAAGATTATTTGAACTATTATTTAGGGCTCCTATTAATGGGAATGATTTTAATGTCATCATCTCAGCATAGTTTTCCATGTTTTCTTTTCTGGAAAAATTGGTGCTGCCTTTCTGGAAAAGCTTATTACAGATGCCTCTGTCTTAAATTTTCAGAATGTTGAAAATCTTACTTTCTTATTAGCAGTTTTAATGTCTGAGTTTTTAAGAAACTGGGATATTGATGCTGCTCTGATTCTGATTTTATTATTTAAGAATATTTTGATTATTTGATGTAATTCATTCTGAATGATAGGGATGGACAACAAACCTATCTTTTATTACAATTCAAAGCACTCAAATCAAAGAGAAACAGAGTGGAAATTTTGTAAATTAAGGATCATGATTAAGGATCTTGACACAATAATGTAGGAGAGAAGCCTGGGACCCTATAAAAGCCCAATATAAAGGTAGCCACCTTCTCAAACAATCCTCAGAAGGGAAGAAAGCAGAAATATCTAGATGGGTGTTCCCTTCATTCAGTTATGGTATTTTTAGATTGTGACTACATTGTGAGCAAGAAGCTTTCCCATTTCTGAACTCAAGTGCTCTCTGATCATCTCTGATCATCTCTGATCTGGTGGAAAATTATGCAAGAATAAAATTTGCTGCACCCATTGTTCATCTCTATTCTGTCTCAAATGACTCTCTTTCAAGAACCTACTGTCCTCTGAACTCCGTCCATGGTAATGACTTACAAAGCCTTACAGATCTTACTCATCTTACTCTTTTGGGGAAATGTTGGAACATGCAGAGGAAAGATTCCTGTAGTTGATAGCATTACAGCTAAGGACATCTTAAACCTTTCTCAGAAATATGGCTAGACAAAAAGGATGCCTTGTTTATGTCATGTTTTAATGCAAATGGAAAAAGGCCCTGAGATTCAGACCTGTTCATACAATGCTTCTGCTGAGAGATCAGTTCTGCCAATTCTTCCTTCTCCCATAGCTCTTTTGATTCCTGAAAAACTGTATGGGATCGAACTGTGTGTTTGGGGGAAGGGAGGGGATGGAGAAGGATTGATGTCTCCCAATCCTTTTGCAAAACCTGTTTCTATATTTCAAAACTCTTTGTGAATGGAGGGAGCATCATTTGGGAAAAGCACCTGCAATAAATCCAGAGGTGGGTTTCTACCAGTTTGCACCTATTTGGTAGAACCGGTTCGTCAAATCTACCGAACCGGTTAGAAGAGGTTCCACCATTGGACCCGGAAAGCAGGCCACACCTACAGAAGAGGCTCCAAACTTTTTTGAAATCCACCACTGGTCCTTGGATATGATTATTCTATACTATCATGCTCACATTTATAAAACTCAGTGCCTCTGTGAAAGGTAAGGATAACTACTGCGTTTGTGGTGCAATCAGAACATTGCGTGTGTTGAAGTTGTTTTAATGCAAACCAAAGATGCCTTTTAAAAAACAAGTTTACATCATATTCTTATGCATGCCAGTGCTGTGTGTGAGGTAATTTAAGGTGGTTCTGACAAGCCACTCCCATCTGGTCACATGGGCGGCAAGCCACTCCCATCCAGTCACATGGGTGGCAAGCCACTCCCATCCGGTCACATGGGCAGCAAGTCACTCCCACAAAGGAGGCCACACCCACAGAGTAGGTTCGAACAATTTTTGAAACCCACCACTGGTTATGTATGTATGTATGTATGTATGTATGTATGTATGTATGTATGTA